AGGAACAGCATGTGGGAAAAGGAGGCAGTGCTGTTCCCAAACCAGAGATGGAGCAGAAAGGCTTCTTCTCTAGAGACTTCAGCTTTGTTTATTCAGACAGAACTGGATTCCAATAGCTGCAGCTCGTTTTGGGAGCAGAACTGCAAGAGCCTTTGCAGCCTTCAGCCACTGGAGGTGGTTAGGAAAGGAAAGGTCTCACTGCTGCTCTCCTTCCATCCCACGGGGGATTCACAAAGGGGTTTTGTGTGACAAGAGAGTCTTTGCCATCTTCCCCTGTCCTGGGTGTGCCAGTACTGGGGCAGGGAGCTCACTGGGAGATCAGGGAGCAGTGCCACTGCCCTTTTCCTGGTCCCTTAGCAGCAAAGTCACTGGAGCTGAGGTCTGCTGCAAGCACAGGTGTAGGTGCAGGAGCACTCCCTCATCTTAGGGAGGAGCAGGTCTCTATCTGCTTGTAGAGACCATGGGAAACTCGAGGATCTTCAAGCCTAGATGGGTTACTGCAGAGTCTGGGGACACTTTTGTGCTGTGTGCTGTGAGTCAGTGCAGAGAGGACATCAGTCCAGCTCCAGGCTAAGAGTTAGAGATTAGAAGTGAATGCTGCCTCTGACTCCTGTCCCTTGACTGCCTTTGTTTCAGGTCCTTGGGAGCTCAGGCAAACTCTACACCTGCTACAGCTCCTGCCACTTCTGCACTTGTCCTGCTTTTGGGTTTTCTGTGTTGCAGAAGAGTGAGAGCCTTTTGGTAAGTTCTCTGCCTTAGCCTGGGACAGGGGGCAAGGAAGAAGGATGTGCTCTGCTCCTTGAACCTGAGCAGCCTGAAGGTTCCAAGGGAGCAAACACAAGTGTTGAGTTGGCCATGCAGGTTGTGCTTGACCCACTGTGAAATTGGCCTCTAAGAGTTGCAGTATTTGGAGGGAGCTAGGGCTGGGGATGGCTTTTGTTGTTAATTATGCATTAACTGTTCTGACTTTCATGAGATTTATAATCCCCAATCTCTTGGGACAAGAGCTCCTGCCACTAATGGGACAGCCAGATGGAGTCTGGCTGATGGAGTGGTGCAGTTCACCTGGTGCCAGTGAGGAAGGGCTCAGGGAATTGCTGTTCTGCAGTTGTGGGGAGCTGTCAGGAGCCAGTAACACTTTGCTGTGTGTCAAATTCCTGGATTACATTATCCTGATGGCAGAACTGGGGCAACTGGAGCACCACCTGTGCCAAGGCTTGGCCATGCCAGGAGGGAACCATATTCCTGGGAGGGGTGAGCACTTTATTAGACCCATTCTGGCCAGGATGGGGTTTTGTGGCTTCCAGACAGAGCATGACATTCCTGCATTGCTCCTGCTCTTAACTTTACAGTGTAAACACATCCTTGCTGTCTACCTCAGTCAGGCCATGGGAGCCTGCCAGGAACTGAGTGTCTCTGAGGAGCAGCTCACAAGCATCTTACTGGCTGAGGAAGAGGATGAAGGATGAAGGATTTGGATCACATGAAGATGTGCTTTCTGTGTCTTCTCCTGGACATGTCACTGGCATTTTTCAGATCTACAAGTCTGTCATTGTGGCTGGTAAGTTCCTTCCTGTGCTGCAACCAAGTGTGACATTAATGAGCAGCCTTACACTGATACGTTAATTAATAAATGTTAAGAAGCCTGTGTTGATTTCAGTTTTTTATTCAGGCTATTCTTGGGATTTCTGAAGGTGTTTGAACTGTAGTCCTGTGATGTGGGGATACAAACAGTCCAGCAGGTCCCTTAGTGGTCCACAAATTAAGGAGCTGCTGTGGCTCTTAGCAGATAAGTGCTCAGAGCAATTTCTGGTTCATCAAACCTGTACCAGGGCCTAGGGCAGGGACCCATCAGCACCTCGAGACTGATGACAGGTCTCTGTGTGCTCAGGATCTTTGGAAGTGTCACCCTGGTCACTGTGCTTTAAATCAACCCTTTTCAGACACATCAACCATCTCGTGCTGGGCAGGCAAGGCAGGGCTCTCCCCATCAGCACAGGGGGAAGGACACTGCTGCTTCCATGTCCACACAGCAGGCAGTGAGCTGGGAACCAGCTCTGACTCCTGCCCACACTCTGGGCTCCTCTGAGTGACCTCACATGATACACCGTGTGAACCAACACCGCAAGAAATAATGGGGCACAGGCTGAGCCAGGTTCTGTGGGTGGTAAATTAAGCATTCTGTATGTAAATAACAGTTCCTGCAAATACAAAACTGAGCAACACAAGGAAAAAACATCCATCTATGTACATCAGAGCAGTGAGGAGGGACAGATGAAGAGCTGCAGCTGCAGAGAGTTTCTCTGCCGTTTGGGCTTCACATTTTTATAGAAACTTTCAGAGCTTTATTTTTGAGGGGGGGCAAGGGAAGTGTCCTATTTTTATTTTGCCTTGAAATGTCTTTGGCTCAGATCCACAGAGGCACTTACTGTGCCTAATGACTATGGTGACCTGGGCCATAGTTAATGCCTAACAACACGAGGGCACAGTGATGCTAAGGACACACTGCATCCCTCTGCAGGAATTCTGGCTCATCAGAGGCATAGGAAGGAAGCAGTCATGGATGCTGAGCTGCAGTGCAAGCTGTCACAGACAAGTGTTCTGGGACCTTCTCTTTTGCTGTTACAGCACTGTGGGTTTCACTCTGTTCGTGCTGTCCAGAGTTTGGTTCATTTTCAGCCAGCAGAAGGGAGAGATTACATTCCTTGTTGTAGGGAGAAATGTGGCTTGCAACCACTTTGCAACACTGCCAGACCTGCAGGTGAAACCCTGCTGGTTTCCAGCTGTGATTAACAGAAGGAACACAGCCAAAGATAACACAGAAGGGAAGGAATGAACGGAGGAGAGAGTCAGACCCTGCCCAAATGGCAGGAGGTGGCTACATGTGTCAGCTGGACCATGACCAAGGCAGATGCAGCAAAGCTGAATGGAGCTGTTAAAGGAGAAGCACTTGGGAAAGTAAGTTTACCTATTCAGATTCTTCTTGGAAATGCCAGGACTGAGATACTGAGCTGCAGCTAAATTTGGACATTGCATAAACACACACAGACCCACTCAGGTTCACTCTCATGGCTGAGCTGATGGATGAAATCCATCACTCCCAGTAAACCATTCCCTGGGCATGGTGGGCCCGAAGTCATCCCTGCAGCTGCTGTATGTAGGTCATGCCACTTGGCAGAGCAGATGCTGCAGGAACAAGATCTCTTCAGATCAACTTTTCAACTGATTTTACATCATATTTGTCATTATATGTGCCAGAGAAATGAAACTCTTGAGGTCTTCTATTCCCCTGCTTTTAGTGTAACACAGTTAAAAAAAAAAGATAAAGTTGATTTCTATATGATTCAAGTACAATTTATCAGGGGACAAACTGCTCCAGGCACCACAGTTTGTCCTCTGGACCTGTTCTTCAGGAACTGGTGGTGTTTAAAATTCCTTTCCTGCAACCTGGCTCTAGAATTCCTGCTCACTCTCCCTCCCTGCATGATTTACAACTGAAACCCATATTTCATCCAAACCCTTGCACTCCAGCTTCTCCCTGGTCACGTGGTGATGCTGCTGGCACCAAGGAGGTGGTGGCTTCACAGGGAGATGGTCCCACTTGACCACACAGAGACCTTCAGGCAGGATCCCAGAGTGAGGAGCAGGTAGAGGCCAAGCTAGACAACCTGCAAGGTGAATCTCTTCCCCAAAGAGCTTGGCCAACAGCAGCTCACAAGCCATGGCTTCTCAAGCACATTAGTTCCCTTCCACTATCTCTTTGCTACTGATGCAGGTCAGCATTAGAAAAAAAAATAATATAAAAATTACTATTAGAGAAAAAAAAAAAGCATTCACAGCTTCTGGTGGTTACAGTCCTGCAGAGGAACCCCAACCAGAGCAAGCTTTAGGAGCCAGGTGAGCTGCAGCATCCACTCTCGCAGCTAAGACCTGCACTTCTGGAAGCACTGCAAGGCTGGCAAGTTTTGATTGGGGGCAAAAACCTAATTTTAGAGCTCATGTCACCAGGGCAGTGTGGCACTGACCTCAGTGGCTCTGGGTCAGACTAGCTGAGCCCATTAGGCACTTTTGCCTTCTGCATTTTGACATCTAGAAACAGATCTGAAAGCAAACTGAAGCATTGGGCTGCACAGTCCTGTAGACCAAAGTGATTTAAAGGCAATAAAGCCACTGTTTTAAAACCTCACTCAACTCTTTTCCCAACTCTCTCTTTGCAGCAAGTAGAGCTTCCATACTGGGGCCAAAAATAGCTGACCAGTTCTGCTCTGGTTTTCCCATCCACATGGTCACTCCCCTCAGAGCCTGGAACACAGATTCAGTTTCACATCAGCAACTGGGCTAAGTAAGACTTTTTCCCATCAGAGAATACTAACTGCATCAAACAATTGATGGAATAATTAGGGTATTACCAAAGTGCTGTCAAGTATGGACTTAGAGAACAACTCAAAACAAAAAAAAAAAAACCAGACACAAAATTATTACACCTAAATAAATCAAAATATTAAAAAAATCATAATAATTAAAACAGAGATCCTATGACTTGACATGAGCAGCACAATTGGGGAAACACCCCCAGCAGGTGAGTCCCCATTCAATGTCCAACCTGGAAAGGAAGCACAACATGATGAACAGCACTCCCAGCCCCTGTGGGTTTCCAGTGGAGGGTGAGCTGCACTCAGTGTCCCCAGGCAGGTTATTCCTCTATGAGGCACTATGTTAATTACAAAAATCAAACCAACAGAGCTGCAGAACTGCATAGTGGTCATCTCTGAGCTCTCCTCCTGGAGCTGTTCACATAGGCACAGGGAAAAGGGAGTGCTGGGAGGGCTGGAAATCCAAGGAGAAGGACATGCAGGGTCATATGGTCACTGAGGCCACTGTGGAGTTAAGGTTGGTGACAGTCAGGTGGTGGTTGTTGTCAGTGGTGCACTTGGGCAAGTCATCTGTCTTGCAGAGGATCTTGGAAATGATCTTGCGGAAGGTGTAGCGGAAGTCTCTGATCCTGTAGGCATAGATGATGGGATTGATGACAGAGTTGGCATGGGAGAGGATGATGGCCATATACATCACCCACTCAGGCTTGGATTTGGACAACTCCTCGTGGAACTGAGTGATGCAGTTCAAGATATGCAGGGGCAGCCAGCAGAAGGCAAAAAGGCCTACAATGATGGCCAAAGACTTGGCTGCATGGACCTCCTTCTGCAGTGTGGTCCTGGAGTTGCCCATCAGTTCCATCTGATGCAGCTGTTTGCAGGCCACCATGAATATCTTGATGTAGATTCCCAGCATGATGACAAGGGGAAGCAGCACACAGCCGAAGAAGTTGAAGTACACCATGTAGCTCATCGTCACCACGTTCTCGAAGAGGCACGAGATGAAGCAGCCAGTCTCGTTGGTGGTGTTGGTACAAGTCTGCTCTTTGTGCCAGCCCATAAGGGGAGTCAGTCCAATGCCAAAGGACAGGAGCCACAGCACAGCGATGAGCCCCCTCGCCCGCTTGCCAGTCACCAGGCTGTTATACCTGCAGCACCCAGGGCAAAACCAAGAGAGAGACACTAGAGAAATGAGCACTGGTGACTTCCCTGTAGTGAAAGTCATTAGCATTTTGGCTAATGAGATAAAAGCCCCACCCACACCTCTGTGATCACCGGAGGGGTAAAAAACTCTCACCTGTGCTCTGCACCTACGCAAGGTGATTTGGGGCTGTGAATCACTTACTATTCCTGAGAGGTGCCAGGCACTGCCCCAGCCCACAAACAGCCTTCAAGAGGAGGGAAAGGATTTGGAGGCTTAAAAAAGGCTTTGTCCTTGCATGAGCCTAAACCACCAACTGCAAGGAGGGCAAGAACAGGGCAAGGCTCACTCTGGAGCCACTGATGTGCTCTCTTGCTCTAAGGAACCATTACCAGGCTGGTCAGGACATGCTGCTGGGCTACACCAACTTCTGGGCTGACCTACTCCAGCTGAGGCCATGCTGGCTCTGAGTTCCACACTGCAATTCCATGTGTGATACCAAGGAGCTCTGCTGTGGCCCAGAAACAAGTCGCTGCTGAGGGGTGCAGAGTCCTGTGCTGCCCCACACCTCTCCTAACCCCACAGATTGGGTGTTTCATGGCCCCTCCAGCCCCCAGATACTCAGAGACACGAGTGGAGCTGGAACCAAAAGCAGAAAGCTGGATTGAGTGCAACCAGAGCAGATGCCAATTTCAAAGCATCAGTTGGATCACTCTTTAGAGATAGGAAGAACCAACAACTGGCAGAAAGACACCATGGGAAAGCCATTCCTGTCCTCTCCATGGCCAGTTAGCGTCTGCTGGCTGACACACATCCCCTCCTTCCCACACCCTTCTTTGAGTGCTTGTTTACTCTGGCTTGGCTGCCCTGCTCCTCCTCTCCTAAGAACGTTTGTTCTGATCTTCTTCCGGCCCGTGAGGCAGGGGAGGGTTTTATTCCCACAGAACCACAGCTGTGCCTGTGAATCACAGCCCCGGTCGCCTCCGTGCGAGCTCTCCATCCCACTCCTCCTGCAAGCTACAAACACAGGAGGGTGAAGTGGAGGAGCTGCCAGCATGAGAAGCCAACTGAGAGGCAAAGAGGAGCTGGGGGAACCCTCAGCTCCTTCTTCAGGCTCTCCTGAATTGTGAACACACTCCAAGGTAGATGTGTGAAGGGCAGGTCCAGCTACTGAGAGGGTTCCTTCTACACTTTTCCCTCATTACCACTAAGTTTCACTCCTTCACAAGATGAGAAGTTATCAGATTGGACATCAGTGAGGCCAAGCCTGTTGCTTTCAAAACACTGTGTTAAGTTTTCAGGAGCTGGAACTGGTCTGGGGTAGTGGGGCCTGAAAACATTAAGATTGGATTTGGAGCAAGTTCCCAGAAATCCAATCTCTTGGCAAGATCTGAGTCTTGAGCTACAATATTGGCCAAGCTCAGTCAGAGCTGTAGAAGCACCAGGAACTGCTGTTGACCTGCAGCTCTGCATGTGGAAAGGGGAAACTGCAGCTCTTTGGGTTTATGCTCTCTATGTTCAGTTGATCACTTCAGTTGCTCTTCTGCTCCAACTCAAAAACTATCCTAGCGAGACTGGAAAATGCAAAAGGGACCATTGGTCAGAAACAGAAGCTGAAGGGACCACGGTGTGTGTGCGCTCAGGAACAGAAGGAGAAGTGGCTGCAGCTCAGTTTGCCATGCTGAGGTTGGTGTCCACCACACCATGGAGAGAAGCATAATAACAAACCATAAAGAAGTGCATGACTGTCACCAGGTATGAAGAGCCTTATTAGCCACACAACAGAGCAAACCTGTCATAAAGCATTGTCAGCAACAACAGGCAGGGACTGAGAGAGCTGAGCTTGGACTCAGCTCTTCCCTGAGCACTCTAAAGCATGGTCAGACAGTGAGGAACCGACAGATTTTCACACCTCTGAATGCTCCAGCAAACCCTTCCTTCATTCTCTTCCAGGCTTAACATTATTAGGCAAAGAAACTATTAAAGTAAATTTGCTCACCTAAGTCTACTCAACTAATGTATAACAAATATTGAATCACCTCTGTGTTTCTGCCCAGAGGCATCAAACCTTGTTTTAATGTAAATAACAGCTGAATATCTAAAAATTATTTATTGACATGAAATAACCTGACACTGCATTAGTTCCTCTAGCACCACCAGGAAAAGACTCTGTACTGGTGTAATCACCATCAAGGTGTTAATTACCTCAGCTCCCACCCATGCCCCTGCAGTGGAGATGCTGCAGGAGCCCCAGTGCCATCCCAGTGCCATGGGCTGAGTCAGGTGTCTGTTCTTCTGATGGACAGAGCTGTACATTGGCCACCAGAGTCACAGCTCAGGCTGCAGTGGGTCAAGTACTTAAAGAGAGTTCAGCTGCTTTTACAGTATAGCTCTGACCCCACGGTCTTACCATGGGCAGTGGTGACTGTCCCTGCTGTGCCCTCATCAAAATGGGTCAGGGGCAGAGGCTTCAGGCTCCACACATCCCTGCCCAACCACCAGGCCATGGAGTGCCAACCACGCTGCCACTGAGGCTGGAGGAGTTGTCCTTCACTCAGCAGACACCACTGTCCCCTCTGTTAAACAACCCACAGCTCTTCTGGCAGAGCATCGTGGCATCCACCAAAACAACAGAGCTGTTTCTTAGGAAGGCTCACCATGTTCTCCAGACACTGTGCCTCTGGTTGGTAGGATGGTTGGGGTTGGGGTTTTTTTCCCCAACAGGTCTCACTACATTTCCATTGCTATTTATTGGGGCTGGGAACCAGCCAAGACACCCAGGCAGGCATTGCTGAGCGTAGCTGGCATAGAGCAGGACTCACTGCCAGCCTGCAGCCAGCTCCAGTTTGGCTCTAGAAAGGCAGGAACTGAGTCATGTCCTGCACGTACCTGGCATCTGCCCACCAGCCCCTGCAGTCCCCCGGGGAGGTCACCCAAGCAGAGGCTCTGCTGCCCCTGAGTTCCGTCAAGTGAGGAATGCAGAGCGACAGCCAAGGTGGAATTCAGCATTTGGGGTGATGGATTTGGGGCAGAAAACAGCAACAGCCTAGAGCAAACAGTCTGGAAGGAGCTGTTATTCCCACATTATCTCCGAGAGAAGGAATGGGAGAGAATCCTGCATGGATTCAACCAACCCAGGAGGATGAACGGATCAAAATTTGGTTCACACAGTTGCTCTGTCTATCCATGTCCCTGTGCCCCAACCAGAGCAGAACCTGCTGTGCTGCCCAAGGATTTTGGGCTAGTTCTCCCACTGCCAAGCCCCAGTACAGGATCAGCCTCTGCTGAGCAATTTCAGTGCTTAAACTCCAAACTCACAGGTGACTTGTGCTGAGGCTACATCAATGAAATTGGTGGCGAGACACAGATGTGCTGCAGCCAGTGTGGATCCTCCCTGCACTCCCAGTGCTCTGAGGGTGCAGAGGGAGCCCTGAAACCAGCACTCCCTGCTCCCTCCCCACTCTGCCCCTGCCCAGGCTGCCGGATGCAGCGAGTTGAGCAGATGGAGTTTGCAGAACTCAGACCACGCAGGTGCTCTGATACAAACACCCAGGGACAATTTATGTATTTCTATTTTAAGTGTGAAGGGAAATGCACAGACACCTCCATTCACAAGGGGAGAGAGCAGCTTGGCTGCCAAGCATTGTATCCTTGTCACCTCCTCCCAGCTGTACTTTGCATCTTGCTCTGTCTTTGAGCTGTAACAGCATGAAACAAGCACCATTGCTGCTCTTTCCTTTGCTCCATGCACAGCCATGGAATGGACTGAAATATCCTGGCAGGACATTTTAAATGAATCATAAATTGCACCTTAGAGAGAAGAGGGGGAAATAAAAAAAAAAAAGGAATAAAAAGAAAAAGCTGTGCTTTTTAACCAGGAAGGAGTTGGCGGCGAGAGGGAGAAATCTGATTAGCGGTTCCGATATCAGCCAAGGAAGCAGGACATCTGTGTCTGTCCATGGCCCAGCCCAGACAAATCACTTCCTCCCACATCTGTCCCTATTGTGCACAGGGACAGCAGCAGCATTCCCTGCTCACACTCCCAGCCTTCCTCTGAGTGGATGACTGTCATTGCCAGCACCAGGCTCAGGTGGGCACACTGGGGCTGTGGAGGGGCAGGAGCAAACAGACAACCCCACTGGGCTTCACACTCAGCCCTGGGGATGCCTCTTGGCATGAGCATATGGAGAGGGAGCATTCCCTCCCTCCCTGTGTGTCCTGTAGAGGCCACAGCCACGCCAGGTCCTGCAGCCTGCAAGGTTTGGCTATCAAACACCTGCAGGCCTAAAGTCCTCTCAGCAAGATACCCATCCCTATGTGCTTATCCCTCCTGTGAACCCCTCCTAGCCCTGGGGGGGGCAGAGCAGCTAGGAGAAGAGGCTGCCCTGGGTTCATCCCCACTGACCTCTCCATGCAGCCTGAGCCCCTTGGGCAGGGAAATGACCAGAGGGTGTCAAGTTTGCAGGACCAGGAATGTAGGAAGGAGGAACACAGGAGAGCACAGTTTGGGGGCAAAGCACACTGCAAACAGCAGCAATCTGGAGGATTAAGAGTCATAGAATCATAGGATCAACCTGGTTGGAAGAGAACTCCAAGATCATCAATCCAACCCTACCATCATTACTAGACCATGGCACTAAGTGCCACATCCAGTCTCAGCTTGAAAACCTCCAGGGATGGGGAATCCACCACCTCCCTGGGCAGCAGATTCCAATGCCTGAGCACTCTGTCTGGAAAAAATCTCTTCCTAATATCCAACCTAACCCTCCCCTGGCAGAGCTTGAGTCTGTGCCCTCTTGTCCTCCTGCTAGACGCCTGCAAGAAGAGACCAACCCCCACCTAAGAATTCTATGATTAAGAAGGGAAATGCTGTTTAGGCTGCTGTGAGGTGGGAGGGAGCTCCCAGCCCTGCTCTGGTTGAAGATCACAGCACAGTGGCTGTGTCAGTGCCTGTCCCACGCACTTTCACAGCAGCACGGCAGGAATTTGTGTGTGCTACCTGGTTCC